AAGCAATCAGAAAAATTTTATGACATTGGTGTTGAGTCTAAAAATACTTCAACATACTGCAACACTGACCCTCAAATGGGGTGTTTTGAGGCCCAGCTGTTCAGAAGTCTCAGGTACACTGTCATCAAATTCTAGGGTGGAGGCAACAAATGAACATGTGTTTGGGAATTCACACTAGAAGCAACACACATATCCTCACTGAATCATCCAATGTCACAAGCGAGTGACTATTTACTGCTTTCCTCCAGATAAATAAAGGCAAATTTAGACTGTCCACTCTGAAATTCTGAGTTGGTAGGACCGAAAATAATGTAGTATTACCTTTAAAGTTTTAATTCAATCTTTTCTAAAATGTGCCTGCATTATCAATTTCCAATCCTGGCTGTATATACCCACCTACACACCAGTTCTGGAACACAAGACCATTTTGAAAGATTTGAAACTTTGAATAGATATGTAAGCTCACTGCTATATAGCAAAGATGTCTAAAAGCCACTGTTGAGAACCCTTCTAGAAACTGGCCAGGACTGAAGATATTCAAAAGCAAAAATTTAGATCACATGTCTATGAAATTCATTTTATTTTTCAAGTCTAATGAAATACTGTTTGTGATTGAATTTTATGTGTAGGAGTGCTTTTCCTGCATGTATGTATGTATGTAATCACATGCATTCCTGTCCCCTTCAGATCTCAGAAGAGCGTTGGATCACGTGGGACTGGAGTTAGAAATATTTATGAACCACTGTTTTGGGAATCAACCTGGGGCTCTCTGAAACAGTAACAAGTATTCTTAACTGCTAAGCCATCTCTACAGCACTAAATGGTGTTTTTAAATTAAAATTTATTCATGAAAATAGTAGCATTTATTATCAAGCTTGACTGAAAGCCCTGAGTTACTGAGCCATGAACTCTGAGAGTGGGGCTCTCTCTCTTTTTCCCTCTCTGTCTCTCTCTGTCTCTGTCTCTCTCTCTCTTTCTCTCTCTGTTACTAAAAGCAGCAGTAACTCAGTTTTTCTCTATAGACTATCTTCACTAGTGTTTACTAATATGTTCAGGGTATCTCAAGGGCTCACACATATCTCTAAATTTTCAGAAAGTCCAGCTGGGATTTGATGTGATGATGCCAGGTACAGTCGTGATGCCGTGGTGGCTTAAATGACATGTCCCCATAGTCTTGGGTAGTTGAATACTTGGTCCCCAGTTGGAGATGCTGTTTATGGAGGTTTAAGAGTTGTGACCTTGGGGAGCTATGCCACTGGAGGCAGGCTCCTAGGGTTTAAAGATGCTATTTTGACTGCCCCTCCCCAGTTTATGCCTACAGCAACCTGGAATTGTGAGCTAAAATAGACCCCTTTCTCCCTAAGGGAGGGGGGAATGTCAGCTCTCAGCTTCAAGCTCTAGCTGCCCTATCTCTGCTCTGCCATCATGGACTCTTTCCTTGCCCTTCTGAAAACATACACCCAAATAAACCCTTTCTTCTCTAGATTGCTTTAGCCATGGTATTTTATCACAGCAACAGAAAGTAACTAACACCACTCTCTCAGCTTGCTGCGCCTCCGTCTTGATGCACGTCTGTTTGTCTGCCACTGAAGGGGGAAATGGGAACCTGGGTTTTTTTTCCACAGTGGATATAATTCCTTTTTTTAATCTAAAAGAAAAAAATGGAGAGAAGGACGGGCAATTCTGGCTCCCTGGTAATTAAAAATACCAGGGTAGGATAACACCCCATGACATTTTCAAAACAAGAAACGGAAGCAGAAGAGGATGCCAGATAAAGGCCCCAGTAAGACCAGGTTCTGATCACTCTGGGCGCCATTCAAGAGAACTTCACCACGAGCAAAGAATCCTAATTCTTTGAAATGTGTCCTTGTAGAAGGTGAGTGTGACTGTAATGTCTTTACATTACTCTACTATTTGTATCATATTACCTCCTAATGTAATCATCCTTTGTCTGGTCTCTTCTAATATCCTCCTCACTGACTTTCCTACAAGTGTGTAATTTCTATTTCATCTACCTTTCAGAGAGCAATGAAGCCTAACCTATAAACAAAACACAAACCTAGTCAGGTCACTACACCAATCGAGAACAGAATATGGAAGGGACTAGAACTTTGCACAGGCTCTGAATCAAAATAATGAAATCACTCTGTCTTATACAAAAATGTGACTCTATACACACAATATATAACATACAATATATGCAGCATATAACATTTAACACTAGCAAGTCTTTGTGGGAGTTTATAAGAAACTCTCACATTTTAATCCCTATTTCTATAAATTTCAACTAGACCCCTAAACTAGGGACATGTAGCAACAATCCTTCCAGATATTTAAGGAATTCATAGTGGCAGCTAAATTTCCTGGATGGAAACAGATACCTCAACCGAAGCTAAACAGCCTCTGAATAAATGAGTTACTAGAAAAAAATTGTGACTGAGAGGCCACCCAAGAAGCAATAAGAAATTCAACCAGTGTTTCCTAGAATGTGTCTTAGCCGACTAAATTCAGTCAAATTAAACACATGTTTGATGAATGGGACAGGGTATGGCAAAAAAACATGACTTCAGAAGTCGGTTGGGAAATGAGATTACTCAAGACTGTCATTTTGGGAGATGTTAGTATCAAGAAGTTCCTAAGGAGCCTATGTCTAATTTGAAATAGATTTGTAAGTCTACCATGTGCCGGCTCTGTAAAATCACTGAGAACATCTGAGATTCTGACTTGATATCACTACCAGTTCTTTAATGAACTTTAATGTAAGGACATAAAGCCACCAAGGGAGAAACAACACAACCCATGATTTGAATACCTAAAGTAAAACACCACCTTCTATAATGAAACTGCAGACATTTATTTCCAGGAACTGCACTTAGTTAAGTAGTGAGGAGAAAACTGGAAAATATAAATCAAAATGCAAATTTAAACCCAAGAAACTTCATGTAAGTACAATCACCTGTTCATTTCTTAGCGTCTCACCTGTCAACCTGAGGTACCCACGGCATGTGCTGAAAGGAGTGATAAAACTCTTTCATCTCTGTGTTGTCTACACCACGCATTAGATGGTGGGGGGAGTGCAAATGTGTATTCACAATTCGGGGCAGGGGACACCATGAGTGCCTCCTGTGCCGTGTCTGTGGACAACCCCAAAGTCAGAACTCACAGAAAGGCGTGACATGGCAGAAGCAGGCTTATTTTTGTTTTAAGTTTTGGGTTTGGAAAGAGGGTCGGACTGGCCTCAAAATCTGTGAGCCTCCTGTCTTGCTTCAGTTTCCAGAGTGCTGGATTAGAGTGTGTGCACCCACACCCAACCAGAAACCCATTGTAACTGAGGGCTACCTAGTGCTACTTACTGTGCATGAGAACAGACCACAAAATACACAACAAAACTCACTCTAAGAGTTTTATTAGTATAGAGTGGGAAAGGGAGAGGGGGTGTGCACAGGCCTGTCTGGAAGAAACGTGATGAGTGAGTCTACTTTTAAAGGTTGCTCAACCCCATTTGTATAGGACCTTATGGAGCCACACCACACATGCACATACGTTACATAAGGCCCTGGAATGACTAGGAGTTTTACCTGAATGCTGATGGCACATGTGCAACCAACCAACCCTCAATTTTGCCTGAATGCTGATGTCACACATGCAGCTGACCCCGGAAATGCTGACACCTGAGATGACTTAAGCATTTGCCTGAATGCTGATGTCAGACATGCAGCTGACCCCGGAAATGCTGACACCTGAGATGACTTAAGCATTTGCCTGAATGCTGATGTCACACATGCAGCTGACCCCGGAAATGCTGACACCTGAGATGACTTAAGCATTTGCCTGAATGCTGATGGCCATGTGTGCAGCTGTGGTATCCCATACATGTTGGATTTGATATAGTGCCCTTCCCATGCCGTAACTATGTCTTAATTTTCCTACTATGTCAAAACATTATCTGTTCATTTAACCTTACACCTCTAATTCTTTTCCCCCACATTATTTCATTCAAGTGAGTTAAACATTTCTCATTGTCTCTGAGCATGTTAGCATCATGTCTTGTCCATGGTTTATAAACCAAGAGAAAGTACACTTCCTTTCAAGTAGGCACAGCCATTTCCTCCATGTGCAAGTGCTAACGAAGCTTTGAGGGAAACAGTGCTCATCTCAAAGTTACCCCAGCATAGGGGGAGAGCTTGCTTTGCCTTCAGTCGTTCCCAGAGCCCAACAGTCTCATACCTAGGAGCATCTTGATGTTTCTTTCACTTAAACAGCTTAAAGCAAAAGCTAATTTTTACATTTAAATAGTCAACTTATAATATTTACTGTTGAACGTAAGAATAACCATCTAAATGCAAATGACTGTTTCCATAATCTTTCCAAGAACACGACTTGTGAAATGTCCTCTTCACAGTGCCTTTAACAAGAGAAGGAATACAAGTCACAGCAGTAAAAGCACATGAGAGATTTCATATAGGTATTGCATTTCCTGTTACAGTCAACTAAATTTTGGATCCTATTCTACTTAATACCCTTGCTTTTAACCCCACGCCCCTTTAGATCCTAACATTAACAATAAGAAGAAAACTTTATTACATTCTGTCTCAGCACTTCTCAGGGAACTCTTGGCCATATGAGAGCCAAGTCTTTGTAAACAACAATACAGCCTTTAATATAAGATTGTAATATTGTAACTTGCAGATAATAAATCTAAATTGATACACTTTACTTCAACATTTCACAGATATCTTTTAGAGTATGACAGTTTGTGTTTTGATATTACAACAGTGAAACGTTAGTATTTCCTTTACCAAGGAAAAGAAAGAACATGGACAGAAGTTAGCGCAGTCACTGTTTAGAGTGCAGACCCTGATCTCTCTGGTCTCTGGTACATCGTTAGCCGTGTAGTCTTCCTGTTCGACTCCAATGTCAGATCACAGGTATTTGTATAATTTCCTTCATGCTGTTAGAAAGGACGGAAGGTGGGAGCTACAGAATAAAATGAAAATTACCTTGTTTATCTATAACTGAGTACGAAGCCAAAAATCCTCGTCCAGAAGCATGGATTCCACTCATGAACAGCACTGTGATTTCACTGCCTTTGGACTCAATTGACTGATTCATTTGTAAACCTAGACCACAGTATTTGCCTAGGAATGAAAAAAGCATGCATATGTTGTGACTCTCATAAAGTCAATATTTATAATGTTTATAACAATACAATATAAGAAAGTGGCTACTAAATTGATGAAAAGAAATTAGTAAAACTTTGGTTAGAAAAATCATATTATTCTGGAGGAAAAACTAAATGACAAGTGATAAATATTTAAATGATTCAAAAGAAAAAACAGATTTTCACTGAACTTAGAGATTCAATCTCTGTAAAACACACACATATACTCCTCAAAACAATAATGAAATAGTTTTAGAAGCAGGCATTCCAGACAGGGTGATAATGCAAGTAAGTGATTAGTCAGCAGTGTTCTCACAAGGCTCCTTCAGTACCTCCTAGATTCCTCACCACAGCACATTCCTCACGGTTTCCTCAAACTGGACCCACTCAATGGGCATGCCGGGAATTTTTGATAAGGTTTGAAATTTCTAGACCTGGATTTCAGTGAAGCCTGTGCAGTTTCATATGTACTCAAACTCAAAGTAGACATTTTAAAAATAGGCTAATTTTGTGGTATGTAAAACATACCTACCATACCTAAAGACAATGTTTTATTGAGTGGATTTATCAGATATAAATGAATGAACTATTTTTATACAAAGATAAAATAGACCACAGAATTAGATACTGTTTTGAGGTAAGAGACTATTAGAAAACTATCCCAAACCCCTGCTCCAACAACTGAAAACTGGAGATCATGCAGATAACTTGATCACCTAAACTGACAACAAGTTAGTGCGGAAGTCAGTCCAGAGCCTTTCTTTTTGTCACAGAATGATTATTGTATCCTCCCCAAACTCTAATGTTGAAAACCTCAGTCCTACTGGGATAGTATTTTAAGACAGGCCTTTGGTAAGAAAACGGCGCTGGTAGTAGAGTTCTCATGACAAAATCATACCTTTAGAAGAGGGCTATACTGAGGGGACAGGAGAAGATCACAACAGAAACCAGGAAAAGGCCCCTGCCACAAACCGAATCTGTTGGCACTGGACCTCAGACTTGGAGCTCCTAGAAAGTTGAGAAATGACTATCTGATGTTTAAGCCTACTGCATACTTGTTACACTAACATAAAGACAATACACTCTCTCTTTCTCTCTCTCTTCCCACCTGTTCTTCTCACATGCATTACTCTCTCCCTAGAAAGGGAGCTGACAATGTTTTGAAGCAGGACTCTGAGGGCCGAGTGTCCAGTGGTCTCCCTCCCACATTGCCAACCTTTGACTTTTCCCATCACTAGCATTACCCTTGACTAAACCGGCAACCATTCTGGCTCATCTTTAATACACACTGCCTAAAGGTGTAACAATGCTACCTTTGTGTGCCTTAACTGCATTATTTCTAAACCTACACATGTGGATAACTGCACCCAGAGTCATAAATGGCTTAAAAGAGCCCTTTTATCATTATATAGAACTTTTCGGAAAAGATCTCAAAAAACAATAGTTACACCTGAGTGCTATGTCTGTGAAACGTAAGTCACTCTTCAGTTTCCCTCCTTGCATAATGGAGCTTAGGAAGGAAGTGGAACCACTAAAGGGATGACCTAGGGAGGGAGCACAGCATCTGACTACATACACTGGAGCTTAGAGGGAAGTAGGAGCACTGAAGGGATGAGCCAGGGAGGGAGCATAGCAACTGTCTACACACTGGAGGGAGGCAGCGTCAGCTTAAAGAACGTTTACTCTTAGTTCATCAGCAGATAGATTTAGGGACAATCTTTCAAAACCTAGAATAGGAACACTTCATACTCTAAAGCAAAATTAGAATTCTCAAATGAAATGCTTTGAGTATTTATCGCTGAGCCCTGGATATCCAGGGACTTCATGACAAAGGTAGGGTGTGGGACTTGATGATAAAGAGCAATGGGCATGGTGCTACCAGTGCCCCCTCAGAGCAAATGCACAGCGGGGGCCTCTCAGGCCGAGCGGGCCACTGTGTGGTCACTTCTTAAGAGATATGTAGCGCACACTCTCATTAAATAGCACCCATCAGCTTGAAGAATTCACCGTTCCAAGCTCGCAGGTTTGTGCTCAGACGTCAGAGTGTGGGGCATTCATACAAGTTACCCCCCTTTGGTGGCTTAGTGTACTCCCTTTGAATGAAGAACAGGTCCTAGAAGGATCTCTCTCACACTGTGCTTGAAAAGCTGATTTTTAAAAATAGATATGTTTAGTATGTACACAGGCCAGAGGAGGGCACCAGATCTAATTACAGATGGTTGTGAGACACAATGTGGTTTCTGGGAACTGAACTCAGGACCTCTGGGAGACCACCTAGTGTTCTTAACCACTGAGTCATCTCTCCAACCCTGAAAAGCTGATTTTTAAAGAGATTTAGCTTTAGTTTTATCAGCTTGAACAAAGACCCACCTTCAGAAAATAGATTTTTTAAAAATAGAAACTGGGTAGCTGTTGTGCACACCTTCAGTCTCAGCACTTGGGAGGCGGAGGCAGGTGGATCTCCGTGAGTTCAAGGTCAGCCTGGTCTACAAAGGGAGTTCCAGGAAAGTCAAGGATACACACAGAGCACACCAAGAAACCCAAAAGACCATGAGGCATGCAACATTTAAGATGAGATGCACCAGATACAGGCTAGACATTGAAGGTGTAACAAGACCACTAAATGAATTCACCTTTCCTTTAAACAGACAGTGATGGCTATTTTAAAAGTATCATTTTTTTCTATCAGAAAGTGATTGCGCATTTTCATAGTAGGCAAGTAAGTTCACTATACTTTCTTAATGAATTGATCTGATATCTGCACATTTAAAATAAAATAATAAAAGGTATATACAGCAAATCAACAACCAACATCAAACTAAATGGACAGAAATTCAACGCAATTCTGCTAAAATCAGGAACAAGACAAGGCTGTCCACTCTCTCTATACCTCTTCAATACTGTACTTGAAGTTCTAGTTAGAGCAATACAACAACAAAAGAAGATCAATGGGATATGAATTGGAAAGGAAGAGGTCAAACTATCATTATTTGCAGATGATATGACAGTTTACATGAGTGACCCAAAAAACTCTACCAGGGAACTCTTACAGCTGATTAACACCTTCAGCAATGTGGCAGGATACAAGACCAACTCAAGAAAATCAGTAGTCCTACTATATACAGACGATAAAAGAGCTGAGAAAGAAATCAGAGAAACATCATCCTTTACAATAGCCACAAACAACTTAAAATACCTTGGGGTAATGTTAACCAAACAAGTGAAAGACCTGTATTGCAAGAACCTTGAGTCTTTAAAGAAAGAAATTAAAGAAGACACCAGAAAATGGAAAGATCTCCCATGCTCTTGGATAGGTAGGATCAATGTAGTAAAAATGGCAATCTTGCCAAAAGCAATCTACAGATTCAATGCAATCCACATTAAAATACCAGCACAATTCTTCATAGACCTTGAAAGAACAATAATCAACTTTGTATGGAAAAACAAAAGACCCAGGATTATCAAAACAATTCTATTCAACAAAGCAATGTCTGGAGGCATCACCATCCCTGACTTCAAGTTCTATTGTAGAAATCAGCTTGGTATTGGCACAAAAATAGACAGGTAGACCAATACAATCAAATTAAACACCCCAATATTAACCCATACACGTATGAACATCTGATGTTCGAAAAAGAAGCTAAAAATATACAATGGAAAAAAGAAAGCATCTTTAACAAATGGTGCTGGCATAACTGGATGCTGGCATGTAGAAGAATGCGGATAGATCCATGTCTCTCGCCATGCACAAAACTTAAGTCCAAATGGATCAAAGACCTCAACATAAATCCAGCCACACTGAGCCTCTTACAAGAGAAAGTGGGAGGTACCCTTGAATAAATTAGTACAGGAGACTGCTTCCTGAACATAACACCAGTCGCATAGTAGCACAGACACTGAGGTCAACAATTAATACATGGGATCTCCTGAAACTGAGAAGCTTCTGTAAGGCTAAGGACACAGTCAACAAGACAAAAAGGGAGCCCACAGAATGTGAAAAGATATTCACTAACCCCACATCTGACAGAGGGCTGATCTCTAAAATTTACAAAGAACCCAAGAAGCAAGTCTCCAAATCACCAAAGGATCTAATTAAAAAGTGGGCTACAGAACTAAATAGAGAATTCTCAATAGAGAAATCTAAAATGGCTCAGAGACACTTGAAAAAGTGCTCAACATCCTTAGCCATCAGGGAAATGCAATTCAAAACAACTCTGAGACACCATCTTACTCCTGTCAGAATGGCTAAAATCAAAAACTCCAATGACAATTTATGCTGGAGAGGATGTGGAGAAAGTGGAACACTCCTCCACAGCTGGTGGGAGTGCCAACTCGTACAGCCACTTTGGAAAATCAGTATGGAGATTTCTCAGGAAAATGGGAATCAGCCTACCACAAGACCCAGCAACTCCACTCTTAGGCATACATCCAAAAGAAGCACATTCATACAATAAGGATGTCTGTTCCACTACATTCATAGCAGCATTATTTGTAATAGCCAGAACCTGGAAGCAACCTAGATGCCCCTCAACTGAAGAGTGGATAGAGAAAATGTGATACATTTACACAATGGAGTACTATTCAGCAGAAAAAACAAACAAACAAACAATGGAATCTTGAAATTTGTAGGCAAATGGATGGCACTAGAAGAAACCATCCTGAGTGTGATAACCCATGGCATGGCATGTCCTCTCTCATATATGGATTTTAGACATGGATCAGGGGAGTGCCAGCCTACAATCACTCTGCCAGAGAGTCTGGGAAACAGAACCTTCAATCAATGAGTGATGGAAGCAGAAGCAGACAGCCACAGCTAAACACTGAGCTGAACTCAAGGAACCCAGTGACAAAGAGGGAGGACTGATGAGCATAAGGGTCAAGATTGGGCTTTTTTAACCCACAGAAACAGCTGACCTGAACAATGGGGAGCTCTTAAACTCCAGACTGATGATTGGGAATACAGCATGGGACTGATCC